TGAGGCGTTTAAGGACACTGGGAGGGACATCGAGGAGGTTATGCTCCGGCTGCGGTCAATATTCGGTGATGGAGGCCGGAGTCTACGACCCGTAGTGGTGGTGGTGGTTGCCATTTTCTGTGTGTTCCTTAATGTTTGTGACAGTTAATTTATCATGCAAGGCCGAATTTATATATTTCAAGGAATCGTCTAGATTGAAATAACATTGGTTTGTACAAGTTTATTATATGAAATGTAGTTAGGGTTCATATATAATAAGATAATCTGTTTAATAACGTTTGTGGATTCGTAGGAGTTGACAGCACGTAGAGGCAGGGAAGAACACTTCTGCATGTAACTGTGTCTACATAATTAAATATTTATAAAGTTCGAGTGTATTTGATATTTACAAAAGAGTCAATCAGCTCCATACCAAAATTATGTACAATGTCAAAACATACGAAATGTCAGCTTAGCTAGAGACACGTCTTCTGTTTATCTTTCTATAGCTCTTTTATGTTCGAATTTAAAAAAAAAAAACAAAACGAAGGTTGAGAATTCATCAATTATTGTATTTCGATTAAACAACATGGCGGCTTTAATAAAATCAAAACTAAAAGGTCCAACTCAAAACGGCTCCATGGTATCTAGTCTTGGTTGAATAAAATAAGCTCTTAAAAGGCAAGTTTCAAGAACAAAATACAGTATTGACTTATATATCTCTAACATCAAAATAATGAGTGGTTAAGTTTATATGTTAAAAGATTGCTATCCGAACAATTTCTCTCTCCGATTGTTTGCCCGAACCGGATCTTCTCACGTTTGGTGGTTGGTGGCCGCCTCTACTAACACCGATGTTTATTGTAACACTAGATTTTTATCCTGCGTCAAACGTAAGATTAAAATATTTAAAAATAAAAAATCATAAATTTTTATAATATACGGGAGAAATTAGAAACAACAAAGATCAAATGGTATATCTCTAATATATATAAATACATTTTACCTTACAAAAATTAATCTATATGACACTTAAACCCAAAAAAATATTGTGTTAATATCTAAATCTTCTTAATTACATTTTTTTTTAAAAGTGTAAATGATGATTTTCGAAATTCAAACATTAATGTTTGGTTTGTAAAGTTGTACGTTTATAACAAAAATGCAACTTTATTTAGAATAATATGGATACAATTAAACGATATATAAAAAATTGTATCATCATTCACATATGGTACCCAAATGGACATAAATATAATTTTTATAAAATAATTGACATCGATAAATGATTCATCGTTAAAACATCATGTTATATAACACTTAAAATATTAAAATGTTATATTTTAGTTGAATTTAAACTAATAACATATGTATTTATGAGTTCTTAAAAACAAATTACTCTAAATATGTAAAGATTTTCGACATGACATATAAAATAAATTGGAATGTTTTGATTGGCTAATTTTATTAATGTGTCTCTTAAAATTTTTATTGAATGACACATATCATTTTTTCAGTTAGTATCTCCTCAATTAATATATAGAGAATTTTTGGCTAAATGTCTTTTTACAAATAATTTTTTGTCAACAACATAAACCTTAATCCCCACGGTTGAGAAAGCTTACTTATGGTGTCGAGTTTAAATAACAAACATCGATATTAATTAAAAGTGCACTATTCGCAAGCCTATCTACTTTTAAATTAAGGATGTGAGAAAATAAAAACAAAAAAATTTTGATTTGAAATTTACTTTTATACGTAACATTGATACAGTAAAATATCAAAATAAGAAATTCATCAATTTGCCATTAGTATTCAAGAATTTTGATTGTGATCCGATCCGAACCTGTATTTAATTATTTGAAAATCAAGTGGACACTTTGAAACCGTACACGTACAATTAACTGTGGCCCTTATCCGAACCTGT